TACTATTTTTTTCTTGATAAACTATGAACTATTTCTTTTTCTATTTAACTATATAAAAGGGTTAGCTGAACATATGTTAATTATGTCAATAACAAATCCACAAGGTGAAGAAAAATTTGTTGTTGCTGCTTTTCCATCAGCATGTGGTAAAACAAATTTAGCTATGTTAACACCAACACTTCCAGGTTATACAGTACGTGTTATTGGAGATGATATTGCATGGATGAGATTTAATAAAGAAACAGGTGAATTACGAGCAATTAATCCTGAAGCTGGATTTTTTGGTGTTGCACCGTATGTTTAAAGCAATTAAAATTTTTCTTGAAATTTATTTTATTCTCTACAGTGGTACAAATATGAAAACAAATCCTAATGCTATGTTAACATGTTTAAAAAATTCTATATTTACAAATGTTGGTGAAACATCTGATGGTGGATTTTATTGGGAAGGTCTTGAAGATGAAACACCACCTGGAACTGAAATTATTTCATGGACAGGTGAAAAATATAAATTAGGAGAAGATAAAACAAAAAAATCAAGTCATCCAAATTCAAGATTTTGTTGTCCAGCAAAACAATGTCCAATAATACATGATAAATGGGAAGATTCAAATGGTGTACCTATATCAGCAATTATTTTTGGTGGACGAAGACCAGAAGGTGTTCCATTAGTTATTGAATCATTTAATTGGAAACATGGAATATTTCTTGCTTCACAACTTAAATCTGAAACAACAGCAGCAGCTGAATTTACTGGTAAACAAATTATGCATGATCCATTTGCTATACGGTAAGAATTGAATAAAATAAAATCAATTATTTTTTCAAGAAATTATTTTTTAGACCATTTGTTGGTTATAACTTTGGTCATTATATTCAACATTGGCTTGATTTTGAAAAAGATCCAAAAAATAAAGTAAAATGGTTCATTTTTTTTAAATATTTCATAGAGAAAATTGATTTATTTATAGTTACCAAAAATCTTTCATGTTAATTGGTTTCGTTTAGATGAAAATAATAAATTCCTTTGGCCAGGATATGGTAAAAAATTATTTCAATAGAAATATAAAAGAAAATAAATGCATTTTTAGGTGATAATATTCGTGTACTTGATTGGATTATTCGACGAACAAATGGTGAAGATATTGCTGATGTATCACCAGTTGGATTTCTACCAAAAAAAGATTCAATTAATCTTCAAGGTCTTCTTGTTGATTGGGAGAAATTAATGAGTATACCAAAAGATTATTGGATGAATGATATTAATGAAACATATAAATGGCTTGATGATCAATTAGGTGATGATTTACCACAAGATATTCGTATACAAATTCAACAACAAAAAGAACGTTTAACTCAAATGAAATAATTTTTTATTATCGATACATATTCATATTTTTTAAAATCCATAAAAAAAACTAATTCGTAGACTTTACAATACTGTTCGTAATTCTTATTTTATTGAATAAAAATTGATACATCTCAAATTTTTTCTCTAATGAATACAGTCATATATTTAATCATGATACATTTTACATGAAGGTTCGAAATGTTTTTCCCATTCACTAATAATAGTTTTGTCATTATTATCTTGTACATATTTTTCAAGTTTTGGATGTAATTCCATTGGTTTCTGATATAAAATATCTGTTCGTAATACATATTTAATACCTGATTGAACTTTTGATCCTTCATGAAGTATATTATGAATATTAACTAAAGCCATTCCTTGTTTTGGTTCAATCACGTAAACAGGTTGTTTATTTTCAATATCTCGAAGAAATCGACAATGTTGTTTATCAGGAAAAAATCTTGTTTCACCACCTTGAAAATCATCATTTAAATAAATTAATAATGTTAAAAATGAATGTTGTTTGAATGATTGTTGTGTTTTATTCTTATGTGTAATTGTACGACTATAACTACCATCCATATGTTCGGGATATTCTTCATCTTTATGATATTTATAAAAACGTAATCGATCAACACAACCTGCAATTGTCCATTCACGTCCGCCAATATCTTTTGTAAAATATGCATTTTCTGGCATCCATTCTAATGTTTGAGGAAGTAAAGGTGATACTTTTTGAAATAATTTATCAGCTAATGATTGATCTGTAATAACTGTATATTCATTAGTTCGAGCATCTTCACGATGAGTACGACCATGACCACCACCTAAATATTTGTATAGATAAATATTATTTTAAGTAATACAAAACGTTTTGGATGAGTCACTATATTACCTGAAGGAGGACTTGTCTTAAAACCAGATCTTTCTGCTCTTTCAATTAATTGCTGACATTCAATTGCTGATAAAAATTTTGGAATAATACTAATACGTTCTTCATCAATTTGTTCTCTTTGAAGAAAAGCCATGATTATAATGTATATGTATTTTTACAATATCTCGTCATTATATACGTCTATTAAAAGTGATGAAATTACATTTTTTTTCTATGTCTGTCAAATCACAGAAAATGTAATTACACAACTTATGATAGAGTTCGCTGGTTTAGCAAAAATAATTATTGATATAATAATTTCAACATTACATAAATATTTTGCGAAAGAAAATTCTATTCAAAATACAAAAAACGATATCCAACTGTTTTTTTTACACGCGATAAAAGAAATAAATATATATAATATAATTATTATAAGATTTTGCAGGCTTTTTCTATTTACTATTTATTCAAATTATTCGTTTATAGGCTTCAATATTAGATACGAAGATAAAGATATAAATTCATTAAAAAATGCCTACAAACAATTCTATATCATCGTATATAGTTAAGAAGTTATTGAAACATCTTACATATAACGTTAATTTATTTCTATGAATTTCGACTATGTTAGTTGTAGCATATATTTATCAAATAAGATCATATGCTTACAAATTATTTGTATTTCACGAAAATTCTATAATGAAACTTGTTTATGTAATTGATTGGTTAATGTATCAAAGACTTTTGCAAATAGTGTGAATAAATGTGTTCTTTCATTGATACATCATATATGTGCATAACATGCACCTTAAAAAAATTCTGATTTTCGAGTTAGTTTCATTTTTTTTTTAATTCTTATTCTTTATCTAGTGCAAGTTTCATCGAGTGACGGCATCTTCGACCTATATCAAATATTATTGAAGAGAAACTTCAAAGTTATTTTATTCTTACTTATAATATTTGTAACCATCGACAATCATGACAGTGCATGCTAACAGCATGTGTACTTCGCTCCCGTTCCGCTGATAAAGTTATATGAGTTACGTTTTTTTATTATATTTTATTCTTATTTATAATATTTATAACCTTCAACCATCATGCAATTCAATGATAACACTATGTGAACCTCGTCCTCATTCTGTTGATAAAGTCATATGAGGTACTTTTTTTTATTATATTCTCATTTTTTCACTCCCGTCACTTATTGCACTGCATAATAAAATCGAGTCATTCGTTGAAGAACAGCAAAATCTTTGCGTATATATTTACCGATGTTTATTTGAATAACGAGCAACACGAAAACACCAAGGTAGAAGAAAAATAACTGCACACCTGTTAAAGCTATACGAGTCACAAGCATACTATAGTTTGAAGTAACACATTCAAGAAAATATGGCATCTACATGTCCTTTCGAAACTAAAAATACGATGAAAGCAACTTCCATTAGCGACAATGAGTGGGACAAGATTATTCCAATCTCACCTCAGTTAAAGTCCGTTAAATATGGAAATAATAGACAACTTATATTGATGTCATATATTAGTTTCTATCATCTCATTGCTGTCGGTCTTTTCGCTTCCCTATTTTTGCCAACAATCATCACTGGTGTTCTTTCACTTATTTTTCTTATATATCCGCTGGTTAAGCAGATTTTACGCTGTTACAATTATTTACCAACACCATATGAAAAAGAAGTCATTCGTACAACAGTTACTGCACGATGTGACGGAGACTTTGTCGTTTTTCTCATAGGTTCTCGGCCAAATGGACCAAATCCTTTAGCAACATCATTCAAAAATGTAGGCACAGCATTTCAAAGTATGGTCGCAGAATTAGAAGCGGATCCTACATTAGGTTATATGGGAGGTGATATGTATGTTGGAATGAACCCTCGAAAAAGTTCATTTTTGCATGTACAATATTGGCGCAGTTATGAAGCTCTTCAAAAATGGACACATACTCGATTGAGTCTTCATGTCAAAGTAATGATGGACTATAGAAAGAAGGAGCAATATGAAGGTACGTATGGCATATGGCATGAAACATATAAAGTGAGAGATGGAGAATATGAAACAATATATGGTAATATGCCTCCGATAGGTCTTGCATTAGCAACACAAGCCGTTGAAGATACAAAATTAAATAATGGTCCAGGAAGAATGGAACGACGAAAGAAGGAGAAAGAAGTTGAGAACAATATGAATACTTCTACAAAATAATAGATTACTATGCAACATAAATAAGCTAAAAGCCAAAACATTTATATAATATATTATTTTCTTCTAATTATAATACCTAATAATTAATCAATACTATAAATGATAAACTTGTTTTCTATTTATTTATTTCTTTTATTAATAAACAGCAAAGCGTTGAAAATAATTCAAAGATTTACACAGGCACACCTAAAAATAGTAAAATAACTATTTTTTCAATTGTTTCTTTTTTTTTTATAAAATGTTACTTACATGTGACATTGCAGAAAGATAATAAAAATAATTGTTCTATTACTTTTGATGCATTCTATATAAAAAATACCTTTCTCTTAACTAAACATGCATCATTACAACATATGATTGTTAATCTTAAAGAAATAATTTATATTTCACAACTACGAAAAATTTGCCTCGATACAAATAAAACTGATATAATAACTAGTGCAGAACAGAATAGTAAAGCAAAACAGACAAATACTTAAAATAATATTTTCTATTTGTAATCGTTCAACGCTTCTTCATTGATATTTTGTTATTTGTTAATGCATATGAAATCGATTCATACAATAATACATTGATATGCAAGAAGATAGTATTTCGTCATCGTATAGCATCTTAGAGTGGATTTAAATAGTTTGACGATAAATAGTCAAACCGTATAACAAAATTAATTTGATATTCCATAGCTAATATTAGACATAATAATGGTAAAGACATATACATTTAGCAATATTGTATGTAATGAAATAGATTGAACATGGATTTTTACTTTGATTCTTTTTTTTTAAATAATCAAATTAATAGTACAACCTATAATACTTACTAACATCATGATTGAACCAGCAATGTCATAAAAATACATGTCCATTGAGGAGATTGTCGTGGTCAAGTTATAGGAAGAATCTTATAGATCTTTTGAACCGATTGGTAAAAGTATAACTTCTCACAATATTTATTGTCAAACAAATGACGTAATATTTGCTTTTCCATTATTAAAGTGAAAATGTATAACAAATAAAAGAAACTTTTTCTTCTAAAGAAGAGGTTAAGTTGCACATGATATAATACATTTTAATAAAACTGAAAAAGGAGTTGTCTATTTTTGAAAAGAGCTGCTCAGAAAATAATTTTGCATCAATTCATGTTGTTAACGGTGTTTATAAATATGAGCTCTATCAAAAATGACAAGCGTAATATATATTAATAACCAAATTCAAATTTAAGTAATTACTGAATTAGTCAATGAAATACAAGTTATAATAAAATTTCAGAGATATATTATCTACCGAAGATTTTTTTAAATTTGAAATTATGTTGTTTATGCTAGCAGAAAATAGTGTAGAAAGTTCATATAAAAAAAACATTTATCGTAATACTCACAAATTAATCAATACATAGTCGTTCGAAATGTTAGAACTATTCATTGTATTCTTGTGTAACATGCATTAAGTCGAGCATACTTCATTTATTATTTCAATTAATAGTTAAATTCCTTCTAAGCACTTCGGTATTTTAGATAATAAACCAAATTAATACATTACTCTTAAAATTACCTGCAATATACGATATAATACATACAAATATATAAAAAGAATGTAATAACAAATAGTAATAGATGTATTGTCGTTTTCTACCCATTTTTTTCAGAATAGTTTATCATAGTAGATAAGTTTTCCTATTTAATTACTAT